ATGTTAAAAATTGAGATAGTTTACATTTTTTTTCCCTGCATTAAGTCTTGAAAATCGGGTGTGTATTTTACACTTAGAACACATCTCAGTGCTGACCAGTCACAGTTGAAATTCCCAAAAGCTAGTAGCTACTGTGCTAGCTAATGGCTCCTATACTGGAAACCACAGTACTAGATAATTCAGAGAGAATTCTTCATATCTAGGGAAACTGCCTTTGCATCTAGGAAAACAAGTTTCAGATTTTTTTTTTTTAGTTAGAAGTGACTATGGTTAACTCCTTTTGCAGCAACACCTCAATTAACTTCCCCAAAGATAAAGTAGGAGTGGATTCAACCACAAAGAGGCCAAAACTCAGTGAATTCTTTAGAAAGCAGCTGTATCTGCCTAAAACTACCTCTGGTGAGGAAGCCAAAATAGGTACATCTCCCCCTCCCCACTCTAGAAGGAAGGTACAGAGTTCACTTGATGCCTCCTCTTCTCCCCATTAATTTCTTCTTTACCCAGCTAGGAGACCCTAGTTTTCTGAATCAGGAAGGGGCTAAAGCAAAAATATCTGACATGTTTCTTTTCTGTGACAAATATATTGTCTCCAGGGGTAAGCCAGGAACCTGACATCAGTCACGACAGTATTCAGCGTTGTCTGCAGAGCATCAACACCCACTGCACAGAAAGGGCTAGAGAAATTTTTCCAGGAGAGAGGAGGGCCACATAAGGCTTCTGATCATCTGGAGCTTAGTAAGAAGTGGGTTCTTAGATAAGGGCAGAGCCATATGACCATCTTTTTCAATCTCACTCTGCTGGATCTGCAAACCTGACTTAATTCTGTGATTTACAATTCAATAAGGCCCAACAGAATACCTTTAGGGATGTAGTGGGATGGGCAATCTCCCTTACAACCTAGTCAGCAGCTATGACCATTCCTCCCAACACCTGTCTCCAGTCTGGAGGACCTACTAATACTGGGTCACAATGTGACATGACATGGACCTATAAGGAAGGCAGCAGGTCTGTCAGGAAGAGGAAGAAGGTTCTTCTTCCTCCACTTGGCAGAAGTGGGGAAGAACAGGAAAAAAAAAAAAAAAAAAAAAAAAAGGCAGCAAGCCGCAGAGTTAGCAAGGTTTACAAGAGGAAGATGAAATGAGTGGTTAAGAAATGTGCACAAAAAAGTGAGTCACTGCTCTTGTTTCTAGTTATAAGATAGGCCAGTAAGTGAGTCTGTTAGTCCCCTGTGCCAGAGAATGGTATTGAGAAAGTTCCTTAGACATGCCAGTGAGGTTGCCTTGGAAGTAACAGGAGAGAAGAGGGGACTGGAATAATGAATGAGCAGTAAGGAGAGCTCTAATCTATCTCCTGTATAATTCACAAAACAATTTTCTCCTGGCAACATAAAGCTCCTATTGCAATACCATATTCAAAATAAATGAGCCTATGTAGCTCTGATGATATCAATATTAAGTCTCAAGCTTATACTTGATCCCAAGGAATAAGTGCTCAGGGACTAGATATTAAATTTCAAACAATTTTATCTTTAAGATTCAATTTAAGTAAGACACGGCAGACCTAGCTTGGACTATTCATTCCCTCAGGTCTCAATCATTAATGTAATATTAAAAGAAGTTTTAAAGAACAGGTGGAAGAGTTTCTTATCTCTCTTTTGATAGGGTATAGGGTAGCATGAGTGTGTGCATGGGGGGTGGGGAAAAAGAAAAAGAAACTGCAGAAAGGTGCACAACGTGCAAATATTGTATAGTGAAATTTAACAGAAACAAAGGAATTATAGTTTTGTCTCTCTCAGTCAAGCCAAACATCTATTTCATGTTGAAGATCTAGATTCCGGTTACTCCTCTGGGCATCTGAGTAGACGAGGGAGGACCCTTCTCAAACATTCAATCAGAATTTACTGACCACATGCCACATCGAAGGTATTTTGCAAGGTGCAGGCCACCATAATGCAACCACTTAGCAGAGGCCCACAAAGGAAAAGCCTCTATTCTTGGGTAGGTAATAATCTCCTATCTGCAGTTCTTTAGCGAAATCGCTAGATACATTAATATACGGTCAGGTGGCTTTTCAAATCGTCCCTATCAGATGAGGCTACAGCTCTCCAGGGAATGTGGGAACTTAAAGAATAAAATGGGGACTTCCCTCGTGGCGCAGTGGTTAAGAATCCGCCTGCCAATGCAGGGGACACAGGTTTAAGCCCCAGCCCAGGAAGCTCCCACATGCCACGGAGCAACTAAGCCAGTGCGCCGCAACTACTGAGCCTGCACTCTAGAGCCCTCGAGCCACAACTACTGAGCCCACGTGCCACAACTACCGAAGCCCGCACGCCTAGAGCCCGTGCTCCGCAACGAGAAGCCACCGCATTGAGAAGTCCGTGCACCCCAACCAAGAGTAGCCCCCGCTCGCCACAACTAGAGGAAGCCTGCACGCAACAAGGAAGACCGAACGCAGCCATAAATAAATAAAATTATAAAATAATAATAATAAAATAAACAAATGCTTGGTGTGCTTGATAAGAAAGAGAAAGTAAGGATAAACTGTAAACTCTATATTTTTTCTTTAGGATATTCTTAAAACAACACAGATAATTTATCAACGGGTATAGTGTAAGACATTAATATATGCAGAACAATTTGAAGCAAAAAATGCAAATTTCAGGTCAAACACATTATATTAAATAACCAAGAATAAGATGTACATGGATTTGTTCTCCAAATCCTAGAATAGTAGGAACGGCAGGTTAAATCTTAACTCTTGAAAGGGGGTTTTAAGGAATATGAAAAGTGGCCACATCGTACAGTGGAAAGAGAGTGGGGCTGGGGAAAACACTCTGGATCTTGGTTCTACCGCCTCCCCCAGGTGAGTGTGCAGCCCCTGAAAAGCTGCAAAATGTTTCTAAGCCTTAGTTTACTATTTTATATAAATGGAGGTTGGAGTTCTAGCTCTTACAGTTCATGATTATTATATGAATCACTTTTAGAAACTAAGTAGTTAGGATTTGAGAAAGGAGAAAATGTAGGAAAGAGAATAAATGAACCAATATTTCTGATATCTTTTTCTATACTCTAAAAGTGACTTCTACTACCTTTATGGAAGTCCAGCACAGTAAGAGAAGAACTGGTAATCCAGCTGTAATTTCTATTGCTAACTAAAGTCGTAGGTCTTAAAGAGAAACAAAGTAGCAAGACTGCTTCTAGGCTTAAACTTTCCTAAGGTCATACATGACATGAACAAGGTACATGTCCTTACTAGCCAAGGAATATCATGCTAGAATGCTTTCACATCAGTATTCCCATCCATCCCTTCTCCCCTGACACTGGAGCACCACAGAAACATTCAGATAGAATTCCCACAGGTAAAAAAGATCCTTTCCAGTGGCTGTGCCAGGGGATATGTCCGTCTTCACAGTCACCTGGGGGCACTCCTGGGAAATATGAAGATATATGCAAGCTTATATAAAATGAGTGTTTAGAAGCAACAAGCTAGTTCCTCTTACCACTAACTTGGGGAAATTTCCATATTAGTATATATTTATATGAAAAGCAGAGAATCTTTTCCTAGGACAATGAACTTTTTTTTCCTCTCCTGAATTGTGTATTTTCCTTTTCAGTCATTATACTGTCTTTCTCTATTTTTTTTTTTTGCTCTCATATACAGATGCGAAGGTGGAGAGTACCTGGACCTAGGTTACTCCTAAGAGGGACAAGCGGTTTGTGCCTCCACCCCAGGAATACTTAATACAATGACTATACTTAAACTTCTGGCACAGCACTTTGACGACAATACATAAACGCTGTTAAATAATGGATGAATGGTGGGAAACATGTATTTTGAAAGATTTTTGTGTCAGAAATAGTAGGCAAATCAAAGAAGTAATCCAAAACAGATAATATTAGATTTTCAGACAGTAACAGAGTAGTCTATCTGCAATATAGTCCCATCCTCGAAAGGGCATTCCT